GACAGTAGCTTTTCTCCCATCCAATGGCTCAGTCTGTAGTTATGGCTACTAACAATTTTATAATGATTGAGGTTACTAAAAACATTGCAAGGATGACTGTAGTAGGGAGTAGGCAAAATGAGAGAGAGAGAGAGAGAGAGAGAGAGAGAGAGAGAGAAGGCATATACGGCTGCAAAAGTAATTTGAATATAGTTCCTAGGACACGCTATCTTGGTGGTGAGTAAGACCGCCAGTGACCTTCACCGACGAGATTTTTCATTTTCAAGACTAATCATCTGAGAAGGAGAGAAGTTTTTGTCCTGTACAAGAGTTTTCAGTCGAAGTGAAGTTGAAATTCCCTGCAGATTGGCAACTCTGTCCCGAGTAAACAGGCCTTTCTCTGGGTGGAGCATTGGTTGCTTTCAGGGGCATCTGAGCAGGTGGGGACAGGACAGCCTGCAGCGGAGCAGAGGGCTAAGTAACTCATCTTTGGAACTCAGGAACTGCCTTTAGGAGAAGAGGACAATGGGCGCTTTCTCTTTTCACGCTCTGTTATATCTGCCAGCCCTGGTGGCATGGTGGTTATGACCACCAGGTCAGCAGTTTGAAACTACCAGGCACTCCTCAGGAGAAAGATGGGGTTTTCTAATCCTGTAAAGAGTTGGTCTCGGAACCCGACAGGGGCAGTTCTACCCTGTCCTATAGGTTTGCTACGAGTCAGCATCCACTCGATGGCAGTGAATGTGATTTTAGAATGTCTGCCAGCAGGAGACTTGATGAGTGGTTTTGGAAGAAGTGAGTAGGTGGGCTAGGAGCATCAGTGTCTTTTAAAACAGCCCACTTTCACAGAAATATTATGCCAAGCACATAGGTAGTTTATTTTTTTATTATTATGCCACATCAAGAAAAAGAAAGAAAAACAGGTGAAATCACTTTTAATTATATATCTGATTTCACATGGTATATCCAAAATATTATCATTTCAACATATCATCAATGTAAAACAACTATTTAAATGCGATATTTCCCCCTGAACACATCTCCTTTTGGACTAGCCCCACTTCATATGCTTAGGAGCCACATGTGCCTTAGGGACCCCCATCCTGGTAGTGTAGACGTAGGACCAGCCTGGGATCTCACATGGGTTCCCATGAAGACATTTCCACACGCTCAGCTCCCTCAAGCATTAGAGGCAACCCTGGCTCTGGTCCAAGCTTTGTGCAACCCTGCGAGCTTCTGTTAACTACAGCCTGGCACCTGGCTCTCTGGAAGCAGGGACTGGAGGGCTGGGCTAAGCAGGACCGCAGTTTTCCAAAAGGCTGACTCAGACATTTTGGTCTGCCAGTCAGGAGACCCTAAAACCTTGAGCAGATGGTTTCCTTCATCTGACTTTCCTCCTCATTGTCTGTGAAGTCAGAAGACCGAGCAAGGCATCACCCCCAGAACTTTCTCTCAGCTTCTTCTTCTCTGATGGCATTCTAAAAGTTTTGCGATTCAGAGAGATAGGTTTCTGACTGCAAAGCATTGGGGAAGACAGAGGGATAATGGGCACAAGTAAGTAGGAATAGAAGCCGGTGTCATGGGGTCTGGATATGACTGCGCGAGTGTGAGTGGGTAGCAGCCGGAAGGAGAATTCTCACTGTGCACAAAAATGGTCAGTGGTGCCTGGAGGGATGTTTCTTAACACACAGTTTGTGTGCGTGTGTTTTTGTTTTGTCATGGACCCAAGGGCAACTGATCAATTCTGAGCTTACTCTTACCTCACTCACTCTCTCGGTGAAGAGCAGTTCCTGGAGTCACTGTGCTCCAGCGATTCCCAGGAGGCCGGCCCCTAGTCCACTGAAGCAAGCCCTCCACCTGGGGCATGTCACTGCCTCGGGATGTTGAGGTGAAAGCGGGTTCTTGTTGGAAGGGGACAGGGCTGCCCAGCTAGCAGGAAGGGCCCTTAGTTTGGGAGCAGAGCAATGTCCCTTCTGCCTTCTCTTTGGAAGACAAACATAGGCCAAAGTCCACACGACAGTACAAAGCAGGGCCGCACTTTCTGACATACTTGCCTCCTCAATGCACTGAAAGGCAAGTTCACGCCAGGTTAGGGTTCCAGCAATTCAAACACTCTTCACACAAGGTAGTATTTTCTGAGTGAAAGTGAAAATGCAGCTGATCGGGATTTATTTAAACAACCAACATTATCATCCTCTCCACTACCCCCCTCAAAAAAGGGGGCCTTTATGAAATTGAAATTCCTGTGGAACACACGCTGGGGAACAGATTGCTATCATTTTCATAACAAGAGGAAGATTGTCTGAAGATTCATAATGAAGTGCCCTGAGGTTCCTCCAGCCTACCACATCTGGAGTTTCCCTCTCTCTATTACAATTGATGCAGATTTGTGGCCTCAGTGGGATAGAACACTTGCCCAAAGAAAGAGCTGTTTAGTGTCTTTCTGAACAAATAGTTGAGCGTTACACATTGAGAAAGAAGCTCAGGGAAGCAGGTGGGTTGGGGGAAAAGGCATCATGGAGAGAATTTGTAGGCAGACCAAGTGTCTGAGGGATTGTGGTGCCAGGCCCCGCCTCACCTTGTATCATGGCATAAGCAGCCTGTGGTCAGGTTGTCGTGACTTGCTTCTTGAGGATTGTCCTGTGTAATGGTAGCATGTGGTGGGGCATGGTGCCTTGTTATAGTAAGATTGGTAGTCTCTGAAGGGAGAGGTTTTACCTTTTATCCCCCTACAAATACAGCCTAGAAAATGCCCTGAACCCATAATAACTGGTGGTTGAACATGTGGACAATTATGACTGATTCCCTATGGCTTGGGCTCGATCTAGGACAATTGGTTCAGGGGTAGAATACTAGCCTTCCAGGGAGGAGACCTGGGCTGCATTCCCAGCCAGTGCATTGCATGTGCAGTCACAAACCTGTCCCTAGAGGCTTACATGTGCTGTGATACTGCCCAAGTTTCATCAGAGCCTCAAAACTAAAACAGACTAGGAAGAAAGGCTTGACTCAGTAAAATTCTGT